TGACCGGGAATCGAACCCGGGATCTCAGAATTGGCGACGCCTTGAAATCGGCGTGCAAACCACTTGGCTACGGGGCTAATCAAATAATAATAGTTCCACGACACTAGAGCAGTTTTCAAAACAAGTGTCACGCAACTAATGTCATCACGGTTCACATGGCGAAACTAGTATCGCGACATCATCCGTGCATAGATAAAACATCGATGTTGACGGAGCCAATGTCTCAGAGATACTGTTGATTGCACGCGATTACGAAACTAGTTTTATATGTGCCGAAATTAGTTTGACATGTTTTAATATGCATGTCATTAGTTTCACAATGTGAATTGGACTTAAAAGCTGCAATATTTAGTAATTTACATATTACTAATTACCAATTTATTATTATTATTATATTATTTTCAGGGGGGTGATGGAAACGGTATGTAGAAATTGCTGAATACCATAGTTTTATCACAGAAGTAAATATCGTTTCTATGACCGAACTCGTTGTTGTTATAATTAATTGTTGTTACAACTTAATTGTTGTTATATTATATCGCTATTACTAATGGCGTATTTTTATCGGTCGATGGTGTCAGCATGCGGAGTCAATAAAACGATAACCAACGAAAGCGAGGAACAGAAATCGTCCGCACGCCGCATGCGGATGTCATCGATCAGTGTAAATACGCGGTAGTAGACCAATTACACGAAAATCAATAGTCGAGACAGTCCAGACAAATTAGAACCGTTCTTTTTCATTCGATTTATTACTGGCTTGAGTGCGGTCTCCATTTACATACATGTGGCAAGTACTGGACTATCTCGGCTATTGGCGCCGTGTAAAAGCAAGCGTATCACGGAAGTGTGCGATAGTACCTGTGCGACCTCTTGTCCGTCGAGTGTGTAAGGTGGAATAACATCGTATATGTATATGTTAGTTTTGACAATTACGGGACGCATATTCTATCAGACACGCACCGACTTAAATTCCAATCTCTGTAGTTGCTACTAAAGTAACGCTTAATTATTTTATATCTGATTTTGATTATGTATTATATTATAAGTTATTTCATTTGGTAATCGTGTAGAGTGTGAGATGCTGATATTCATTAATATCTTAATCTTATCATATTAGATATTTGTGGCTGGTATTGCACAATATACATTTTATAGATATTATTTTCATTAATATAAAATGAAATGTTGAGAGTTACTATAGGGAATCACTAATTATTAATTATTACTATACTAGTAATTTTAAAAGATTCCTTTCTGAAAAAATTAGTGAGATATTTTTATTTTAAGCATTTTATTTCGTAATAATAACAATAAACAAAAAACAGGAAAAATACGAGGCAAAACATTTTAGTAAATTTATAATAAAAATGAATCACTGGAATGTATGTACGCACATAACTACTGAACTACTGCACCAAATTGGATGATTTTTTTTCCTTTTTTATGTGTAAAATTTCTAAAAATAGCCTCCTCAGTCGCGACTGGGGATTTTTTAACGTGTTACGTTACGTATAAAACAATTTTATTTATTTCTTTCATTTAGTACTACGTTATATTTTTACTACCCTTGTCTTCGATTTATCGCAATTTTTTTCTCCATCTAAGTTGCCGCTTTAAGCAATAAGGCTATCAATTGTTACGCAATCTTTGTTAGTCTCCTTAGATTTTGTAAATAGTATATTATTATCAATAAAGACTTATCTATCTACCTACGTTTTGTCAAAATCAGTCTCATTTTGATTGTAAATTGACGTAGTAATTTTAAACATTCAGTATTATTTGTATTTGAACATAAAGTTGGATGAGACGCGGTGTATTCATTCACAAATAAATAATTACGAAGTATTTTCCTAGTAGTTTTATTTAAAACTCAACTGCTAACTGAAAACTAAACCTCATAATTGGTTTCCAGTTTTTATTACTTCTGATACCACTAACGTGAACAGACGTCCCGTTTTCCAAATTTAACCTTTAGGGATCTTCTTCTTTAGGGATTTCTTGCGGTGCCGAGACGCAGATATTTGGTAAGTCACAGAGTATTATAGGTGTCTTTGCTTATCGCACTATACCAGAAAGGGTGAGATGAGAATGTTTAAAATATATTACAAGAGGTCAAGATTTTTCAGTCTCCACATTTTTGCCTTATAAAAACGATTCAATCAACGTTGTACACCTTCTACTTTTGAATTTTATATTAGTATTGTCCTTACATCCGGCATTCTTTTTACATCCCGAACTAACGCAGCATGACTCTGTGTAAAGATCTGTTTTTATCAAATGAATGCGTCCAGTAATGTAATAGACTGGGACAGCAGATGTCGAAGTGCATATTAAGAACTGTTTTCTATTAATAATGTTTCACTAGTACCTATTGTTGGCAATGTAACATATTTGTTACATGTTTAAAGTAGATAATATCATGTGGTACATTGTTAATATCAATCTATAATTAATATTATGAAGAGGAAAGATTTGATTGCGCGTTTATTTACTGGATGGATTTTAAGAATTCTTTTACCTACGGGTAGCCACATCATACGGGGTTGACATGGGTTATAATATTCGCGTGTGAAGTCTCGAGAAATCAGTTAATATACAATATAATTACTAGCAAACTACTTCATGACTTAACCTATGATAAAACATACTGAGACACCATGCATACAATAGGTAATTTTCATGGCCGAAAAATCCCTCACAGACTCTTATCCTTTTATAAAAGTTCATGTGTTCATGTTACAGTTTTCTTTGTACAAACCAGATTAAAGTTGGCGATTTTGGATGAAATGTCTTAATATTTATTAACAGAAATCTCTGTTCTGTGATAAATTAGCGAGTGAAGATAACATATTTTGTAATTTTCATAATGTGAAATCGCTGGCAGAAAGTTAGTTGTTGATTATTTATAAATGACATCGTTATTTTCAGTAAAGAATTGGTTCAGGAGGTTTATCTCAATTAATTTAATTACCTACGCTAAATGGATACAACTCAATTCAAAAACTGACTTTAAACAAACGTATTAAGTGATTGAGACATAAACATTTTCGTTTTCTACCCGCGATTCATCATAGTCAATTATAAAACAGAATTCGTTCACTTTTTCATAGCATCCATCCGGAGCAGTCGCTGCTTATGCAGAAATATGCTAATATCTTAATAATAATATATTTGATATAATTTTTTATCGAAAATTTAGTTTACATTTACATAAAAATGAAAATTTTAAAAGCAGTTCTGAATATATTTCTGTTCGCCGTAGTGGTGTGTCCTGTAATGGATGTTCTTTGTGAAGCACATGGAAAAACCGGTCGGTTCATCACGGATAAAGAAGAAGGTATAATCATCATATACTATATAGAAATAAGTTAATATTATTATGATCATTTAGCAATTTACCAATACCGATGCTACATTTATTTTATCATAAAAGAAAATGTCTGTTGCCCGACACTGGTAAATTTTTAAGTATTTCTCTTTAAGTAGCTCTGTGGCGTAGTGGACAAGCGTGGTGGCACGTGATCGTTGTTGTTAAGCATCTTTAGCAAGGGTCGGTCACGGGATGGGTGACCAAAAAAAAATATCTTGAGCTACTCCGTGCTTCGGAAGGCACGTTAAGTTGTTGGTTCTGGCCGTATTTGTAGTCGTTAATACCCTTCAATCCGTATAAGGCCAGCGTGGAGGGTCATTGCCTGTACTCCTTAACCATCCATAAGGAAGGCTTGAGCCCCCGGAGTGGGGATGTAACAGGGCTTATGATGAAATATTTGATAATTTATCATAAGATCATAAGATAGTTGTATAAAAAATATAGCACTGCTGCATGTAATCTAAGTAGTAAAAGAATTTGAAACTACTAAATAATAAATGTAACATCTTTTATTAATTCAGTAAGTATTCTTATAACCTCGGCAATATTGAGCCTCGAATACGAACATGCCCTCAGTGATATAATTGAACAGTGTTTCCCAATTGCCCGGTCCAGACTCCGGTACCGGGCTATCAAAATAAAATACCGGGTCCTAACATCTCCGTCTTGTGCACAATGAGATTTTTCGTCATTATATTTAGTTGATTCTTTAAGAAAAAGCAGTAAAGTCATACTTGGCACTAAGTTTAGTGGCTGAATAGGGGACACAGAAGTATGTAGTGTTTTTACTATAGCAATAATAATATAATAAAATATTTTAAGATTGGGTTTATAAGTACTGAGTGAGTCTAAAATACATAAAAAATAACTTCAAAAGATATTTAAGCTTTTATTTCATTGAAACTGTGCTGTCCAAGCGCTGTGCTCGAGTCAGGCTACTTTTAAGAGAATAAATAAATCACTGCTGGTTGTAAATGGAATTAAGAATTAGATACGGATATTTGTTTGTCAGCTTCTCGACATCGGAAGACTAAATTATAAGATAGCTTTGAGAACTCAAAATTAAGTTAAAGAAAAAGATTACTGTAGTTGTTGGCTCAAGTGTTTTACTAAAATTGCGAAGTACGTCTGTTTGTTTAAGTTATTTTTTTTTATATATTTATAATCACGTCTGAAATTTGTTTTAAGTATTTTTGTAAAAAATACCTTTATACCTACCAAGATAAATTTATAAACACAACTGTCAAATATTTATTTCATGGAGATTTCTAATGATGCAGTGATTCTGCGATACGATTGTTAAGCAACTTTCGCAAGGCCAGGTCATAGTATGGGTGAGCAAAATATATTATCTCGAACATTTGCGTGCTTTGGAAGGTACGTCAAGCCGTCGTTGCAACCACCAATCCGCAATGAGTACGCTTGGTGGATCATGGCCTAATCTCTCTACTCGACTTGATTCCATTCATTAAATCCATAGGGAAAGTCTGAGCTCCATTGACATTAATAGGGTGGTGATAATGATGATTAAACTAAACTAAAGAGACGTTTTCGCAGCACACGTACACAAACAAGAACCCCCTTGTGCTATATGTCCTCGCCAAGGCAAGTGTGTTCCAAGGATTCAATGTCCAGCCCTCATGAGACCTGGCTCTCACAACAGGGTTTGCCACCTGAAAGGTAAAATTTTGGGCGTCTGCTGTACTACTGGTAGCCATCATGCAGGTATGTAAATAATATTTTAAAATCTTAAATAAGTCATATATGGCAATCAAGGTCCGCGTTGTGATAAGGTCCGCCTTTGATAATTCTGCTAATGCATTTCTATTTCTGTTCAACCTTTATTTACACATACATAACACTAATATATACGCCGTGTTAGGCATGGATAAGTAGGTTTAGAATAGGAATTTAGGAATTTTAGGATGAAATTGCAACAGCGGGCCTTATTACATCATGCGCTTAAATTGCCGCAGATACCTTAGTGGACATTATAATCGTAAAAATACGCAATGAAAACAAAACCAAGTAACTGTGAAGTACGGAAAAGACAGTTTCGTTAAGAGATTCGTTGATCAGTCTGAAGAGCAGTTATCCGGACAGTGAAAATTTGCTGGTTTTTAGTTCTATCTGGAATACTTGAAATTATTGTTACGATAACTATTAAATCCAATTAAAAAACTTGTTCTGGATTCACCTTTGTAGCGGAATCAGATCGTAAATCTCGTGCCTCTTCATCCGTTAGTGCTAAGGACGTTAAGTTAGCTCACAAGCAGTCGCAGAAAAAACTTCAAGAGTGGCTCACCAAGTCCGATAAACTGGCAACAGAGAAAACTGTGCATGTGGACACTACATCTCCGAACTTTGCACACCACCTGGTAATGTTTTCTAAATTAAAAATGATAAATAAATATTTAACAACATCACATACATTGCTCAGATTCCAAGATGAGTAGCTAAAGCCCCCGTATTATGGAGTATCTGAGACAACGAAGGTATCACAACACCCAGACCCGAGTCAATATAGAAAAGTTCATTTTCTACATTGACCCGACCGGGAATCGAACCCGGGACCTCAGAGATGGCGACACCTTGAAACCGGCGTGCGAACCACTCGGCTCTTCTCCTCTGCGACTCTTCTCCATGTGATGTGCTGCTGCAGCAGGAACATAAAAGGGCAAAGATAATGATGATGAATATAGAAATATAAACTTGATATTTGTAAGCTTAGGGTTTTATTAAAAAAGACTTACCAACTGCAAGGAGACCATCATCATGAAATATTATGAAATGTAATCATCATGAATAATTATTGAAAAAGTATTTATACATTTATTTAAGATCTTACTCGAAGTGTGTATTTACTTTTCCACGACAGTCTGTAATGATTACTGATAGAAGAGCAGAGCAATTAGCGCACGGTGGTCTACTCAATCTCTTCGCTGCCCAGGAGTTGAAGGCACGCCAGGCACTATCTGATGATGAATTAGCCCTGGGACTCACTGAACATACAGACGGTAATTTTAAGAAAACCTTATTTAGATTGTAACTATGAAATTTATTGAGTTTTTTTTTTTTAAATAAAGTTTGAAATTAAATCGGTATAGTTGACTATCTAATTGCATTTTAAAACCGTTTTCATAAATAATATCAATTAAATTGTATAATTTGCATGTTGCTTCTAAATTATTTTGGTTTTTAAACGTTATATTTCAGGACCATTCTGCCCCCCTGCGCCTATCTGTCCCAGTCCGCCCAACCGTTACCGGAGTTTCGGCGGAGAGTGTAACAACCCTTCATTTCCAACTTGGGGCGCCGTCCATACTGGCTTCGAGAGATTACTCCCACCAGACTATAGTGACGGTAATATAATGAGTGCTTCATCAACGAACTGAAGCATCTCGATAGCGCAGATCATTGGTCATTTGGTTCCAGTTCCAATGCTGTTGACGATACTGAGTGTAATGAACACATTTTTCATATACCTTACACTTTTTTGTAATGCAATTAAATAGACTATTTTATTTGTATCGTCACGTCCCTTATAAAGGTCGAAGTAAAGTAGTTAATTTCAGGTAATCTATATCTTTACATTAGGTCCCTTGTGGGATAGACAGAGAACACTGATTGAAATGACTACATACAGTTTCACCCGATTCCTATGGCTTCTGACTTCACCATTCTACACGAAGTTGTTTTGTTCGTTAAAGGCATGTCTTGGCCTGATCGCTTCCATACTCTTAGCTCAGAAATTATAAAAGTTAAACATATGGTTTTAATTTTCAGGCATCTGGGGTATGCGAGCTTCATCATCAGGTGGTATACTGCCTAGTGCCCGTGCAGTCAGCAATGCTTTAATCTTAGATGGGGGTCATCCCAGCCCGATACTTAATCTAATGTTCATGCAGTTCGGGCAGTTTATAGCTCACGATACCAGCTCTGGAACAGTGTTTACTATAGGTAGGTAAAATATTTTTTTATAGGAAAAAATCAACTGTTGACTAGTTAGTAACACAGAAAAAGTGTAACTGGACAGCATTCCAGAACTGATTGATAAACTGAGTTTCATGGTGAAGTATGTATCTTACGAGTCATAAGGCATACACTTTTAACTAAAGCAAAGTAGTTATGACTTCAATAAACTCAAATAGACTTCTAGCATTCTTTAGCCTTTCTCCATCACCATGAAACTCAGTTTATCAATCAGTTCTGGAATGCTGTCCAGTTAACTTGATATAAAGCAAAAAATAAAATTCTTACTGACTAGGAAATGGCAGTGCTCTTACCTGTTGTACTCCCAATGGCGAAGATTTCCTACCTCAAGAGTTCCAGCATTGGGGGTGTGCTCCAATAGCCTCCGGCCCTGCAGATGACTTTTATGGCCAGTTCCATCATCAGTGCTTAAATTTCGTGAGAGCTCAGTTAGCTCCAGCAAGTGACTGCTCTGTGGGATATGCTAAGCAGGTTTGAAGCAAGAACAAGTAAGCTACTTCACAGTATAAGTTAAAATTATTCTTCATTCATTTTATGTATTAAAACAGATGAATGGCGCAACGCACTATCCAGATTTGTCACATTTATATGGAACTTCCGATGAAAAAGTTGCTCAGTTGCGGGGTCCTGGTGGACTCTTGAAAACATTTAATGACTACGGACGAGAACTGCCTCCTCTCACGGAGAGAAAGGAATGTCTTACTACCAAAGAGGGCGCTGCATGTTTTGAATCTGGTGAGTGTTATGCATTAATTACGGGTATACATCATCAGTCTATTAAAGTCTCCATTAACAGAATAGGGATAACGGGACAAGACCGTCTACGTAAACCCAGTATGGGTTGGTGGCAGTTAATGACTGCAGATACAGCCATGACCAATAGCATAATGTGCCTTTTGGAGTACGGAGTAGCTCAACGTTATTAATTTTTGTCACCCATATAGTGACTGGCCCTTGCAAAAGTAGCTTAACTAATATATCTCAGACCAAACGCGCAAATCTCTACGCCATCGAGCTAGTTTCATTTATTTTTTTCTTTCAATTTCTAAAAGATGGCAGTATCTATTTTAAATAATAAAAATAATCTGCAGAATGTTAAATCCTAATAATAAAAAAGGAACCATTTCAGGGGATAGCCATGGTAACCAAGTAATATCACTGACAATTCTTCACACTCTCTGGACACGTGAGCACAATCGGATAGCTAAGGCACTTGCCAGGCTCAATCCTGCGTGGGACGAGGACAAAATTTATTTTGAAGCTCGAAGGATCGCCCAGGCGGAGTACCAACATATTATGTACAACGAATGGCTGCCGTTGCTCTTAGGTATTGTACATCTCACAGAACTAGAATATTTGAAATGTAGAGCAGTTGCCCGGATTGCGAAAGAGATGGTTTGGTCGGGATTAAGAATATTTTCCAATATAAACTTGATCGATTATATTAATTTGAAATGTGTTATGTCAATCTATATATAAGAAGGAGATATGTTATACTGCTACAGAAAAAAATCTTAAAAACTGGAATTACAACACAGATTAACTTAATTATTATTATTTTTACTATGTACCTTATATTTTATTGGTCCCCCATATTTAGGCACAGTTGCAAACGCCATGATCTCGGGATAATTGTTATTACTCTAACGTCAGTGACCATTGAAATTTAAAACAGAGCTCAACTTTAAACTTCTATGTATAAATATAACAAGTCGTGGCTAAACATGAAATGAGATCTCTTGGCAGGATGAAAAGTATGAAACTAAAAGATCGGAACCAAATAGATACATTAATATAATAGTAACTAAATCTCGGGTCTCACTGAAAATTTTCGATATATCATTAATTTCGTCATTTTTTGTTCTACTCTACAATAATAGATATAAGTAAGTTAGAGCAGAACAGACGACGAAACAGTCCACGATAGCAGAACTTCAATTTTAAGAAGTAAAGGGATTTTTGGATCAGTTTTGAACAAAACCCGACTATAATGTTCTACAATTATAAGCAAGTTCTAGTTTCTAATTTAATCAATCCTAATAAGTGAGTTATTCCGACATAATGAAAATTATGCTTTAATATCAGGTGCTCAAACAGTTCAAACTTTCGGCTTATCTCCGTCTCCTGGCTACTGTTCTTCTTATGATCACCTCGTGAATCCATCACTAACGGCAGAGTTCTCAACCGCTGCTATGCGGTTTGGCCATTCTGTCGTCGATGGAAAGCTTACGTAAGATATGTTTTTATTATTATTTCTTAGATTAGCGTCAGTAAAAAAGTCTAGCGTTCACAACATCCCTATATTTAAGATCCTGGGCTTGATATCAGATTCTATGTCTGATATATATTATTTAAGTTGCGAAAATAATTAAAATTATTAATATTTAACATAAAATTTGCTAATTTTATTGTTATTATAGTTACGATACAATGCTTCTGTCCTATACTGATCTTGAAATTTATTTGTTTGACGTTTTTTCCAGTATTCCTGATGTCAGAAGGGATAATGTTTACGAGAGCATCTTCATCCCGGAGGTCATGTTCCAGCCATCCAGGCTGCGACTGAGACCATTCCTCGATAGACTCATCACCGGCATGACGTGGCAGCCGATGCAATCCGTCGACCCTTTTGTTACCGAGGGGGTGGGTACTATTCATAAAAATGTTTCACATTACCAGTCTATTAATTCTCCGCTGCTGGGGCTCAGGTCTCGGGAAAATGAATAGAATAAAATAGAACACGGAGAATGTGCCATGATCCACTATGCGGCCCCAGTGCGGGTTAGTGGTTGTTAATAACGTGCCTTCCGAAGTACGGAGGAGCTCGAGATAACAAATTTTAATCTCTATCCCATTAAGCAACTTAAGCAACTTGCGACCATTGCGAATGTTGCTTAACATCTGTATTGCAGAGCATGCGCTAATCACAGCGCCATCAAGATCCTCAATAAAGAAAAGTTAAAGCAGAATAAATTAATATGATTTATTTTTGTGAGGTAAAGGACTGATAGTTTACCAAACAGATGGAATGTTCATCTCTGTAGTTGAGTTGCTTGCACCCAGTCTAAACGTGTCTGCATTTAAGAGGTCCTGAGTTCGTTTCCCGATCTTAAAAACTTTGTACATTTTTCGGATTTACATAATAAGTGTTTAAAGCTGGGATCTGAGCAAATTATATTTTTTACTCAGCTAAATGTAATTTAATACTTTAAGGTTATTAACAAACATTTACAGCTAATAGACTGAATCATTGTTCATGATCCAAATAGAGCTAAGCCCTTCTGATTTGCAATAAATAATCATTCACTCATTTATTACAGGCATTTCGTTATATTTTTTTCAAATTCAAATTCAATTTATTTATTTTAATACAGACACACGACACATTACATATAATTAACAGTAAAAAAAGGGCAATACAAAGTTGAGTGTCTTATGACTGCACTAAAAAGGGTGACTAGTTCAGCATTAGTCAGCTAGGGCTGACGCTGATTTTCAACTATCACCCTTCTTCTGACCCACGGACCCCAAAACGGCTACCAAAAAGTGTGATAACATGCAATGCTACTGTGTCACAAAGAGCGTCCTCAGTCACTGTCACAGTTGAAATTAGTTATTTCTTATCAATATATAATCAGTATATTTAATAAGATAGGATAAAAAAATATATCCACAAAAAATTATTGTTACATTGAGAAGATTTTTTTTTAATTTTAATTTTTATTGCTTTTCTATATTTACTGATATAATTTGAAGTTTTAAGTTTTAAACCGCCTACCTTCATTGACCAGAGCAGATCACCCCTTAGCAGAAAAGAAAAGAAAATCACACAAGATTACGCGAATCAGCCCACACACATAGGCTCATCCTAAGTACCTAAACTTTATGAAACTTACTGCCACAATTCCTTATTTATTATCAATTTTTGAATTCTGATAAACTTCTTGAATTTGCAACTTAAGATTTCCAAAATCTATTATTTTTACAGTTAACCCGATATCTGTTTCACGGCGGCAATCCATTCGGGATAGATTTGGCTGCCATCAACATACAACGCGGAAGGGACTATGGTGTCCGCTCGTACAACCAGTACCGACGACTGATTGGATTGGAACCTTTTAACAGCTTCAATCAGTTCGCTCCTAACGTAAGTTCAATTATAAATTCTTAAAATTGTTATCTACAAAAAAAAAAAAACTTTTTGATCCATCCAACGTTATTTACATCAATTAACATCCTAATAGAAAAAAATATTCTGATGTTCTTTTATCGAAATATACATAATTCAAAACATAATAAAATGTAATAAATCTTGAATGCTTGTCTTTTATGATATTTGTCTTGTCTTCAAGAATTAAAGGCTAATTATACAAGTCTTGAATGATACTTGTATAATTAGCCTTTAATTCTTTTAATATCAATGCTAGTTATAAAAAATTAACATTTCCTAAGGCCCTTGAGAATGAAGTTAGGCAAACCATTTAACTCGCGGGACGCCTGCGGGGCTAGAGGTAGGTGGGCGCGGAGGAACTCACAGACGTTTCGGAGGTGAAGGCGCGCGCGCGCGGCATGGAGCACAAGTGATGTTTCTCAGTACGCTAGCGGCTCTCGCGGCGTGCAGTCGGCTTTTTGGTTACGGACGCTCGGCACAAGATCTATACGAGGTTATTTTTCCTGAGATATTTTCCAAGATGAACGCTGAAGGACGGTTTAACAAGAAAACTAAACAATTACTATACAATGTTTATTCTTTCTTTCAACAAAAAAAACAAGATCAAACTTCCACGAAATTTTTACAAGATGTAAACCTGCACAATATCGTTGCCCAAGCAACGCAAATATCACTGTCTACTGTGAGTAAAATCATCAAAGAAGGAAATGATCTGAAACGCGACCAGAGTAGTGTATTTAAATCCCCAAGAAGTAAAAAACAGAACCGAACTAAAAGAATTGAAATAGATAATTTTACTGAAGGTGTCATCAGACGAAAAATAACTCAATTTTATACTATATACAAAAAGGTACCCACATTGAAAAGAAGGAATTTTAAACTGTGGTCGAGAATATTTGAGACCGTTACTGCATAAACTTGGTTTTAAATTTAAAAAATGTCAGTCAAAAAGAAAGCTGCTTGTTGAGCAACCAAATATTATTTCTTGGAGATGGAGATATCTGAACGCGATAAAAAAACTTGTTTATTGTTTATCTTGATGAGACATACGTAAATGCGTCTTTAAATATTCCATCGTGTTGGCAATCTGCAAAAGAACGTGGAGTGCTGTCACATATTGGCAAAGGGCCGAGATTAATTATTGTACATGCAGGTAGCCAAGCTGGTTTTGTAGAAGGAGCTCTATTAATTTTTAAATCGAAAAGTAAAACCGGAGATTATCATAATGATATGAATTTTGTAAATTTTAATAAATGGACCAAAGAGAAATTATTGCCAAATTTACCTCCAAGATCTGTAATCGTTATGGATAACGCTGCCTATCACTCAGTGCAGGAAGATAAAAAGCCAACGATGACCAACACAAAGGCTAACATGCAGGCCTGGCTGCAAAGACATAATGTCGAATTTGATAATTCCTTAAGAAAATGTGACCTGCTTAAGCTGATTAAGCAGAATGGTTCTGAAAATGTTTATAAGATTGATGAATTGCTCAAAGCTGCGGGTCACGAAGTATTAAGACTTCCCCCCTACCACCCAGACTTAAATCCTATTGAGTTGGTTTGGGGGAATATCAAAGGTTAACTGGCGAGAAACGAACTGGACAGTAATTTAGATAAAAAGAAGATTGCACTAGAGCAATTATTCAACGAAATTCCAGCAGAAAAAATGGGCAGCATGTGACAGTCATGTCCAAAAAATTGAAGATGAGTATTGTAGTCACGATGGACTACTCGATAATGCTATGGACTAAATAATAATCAATTTACAAGATGACTCGGTTTCGTCCAACTGGACAGAAGAAGAAACAGAAGATGATTCAAGTGTCATGGACATCAGTGAAGAAGAAAACCTGTAAAATAAATATATACTTAATTCTGATTGATATAAATCTTATTATAAGTGTAAAATATTGTTTATTTTTTTATTATGTCATCCCGTCCCATCCGTCAACCCGTGAACAAACACCAGAGATTGTTTTTTGTTTACCTGATATTGGGAAGGCAATGGAACTGAGCCATACATCCTAATCTACTTATCATCTTACTAATATAAGACTACGCTAATGTCTTAGTATTCGTAAAGGGAAGCCGGTGATAATCGAACAACTTGAATTAATATCAAAGAAAAAATATATATTGCATAAATAATATGAATATTAAAATAAATAAATAAATATGTTCCAAAATAAGTAAATATGTTCCAAAAACATTTACATTTATTTTATATGTAAGTGAAATGAAATGACAAAGTTTATTATTTATTTTGCATCCGAGTAAGATATCTCGGGATTTATCTCGAAACAAGTCATTACCTACCTCTTACCCCGCAGGGCGTCCCGCGAGTTAAATGGATATGACTTAAGGTAAACAGATTTTTATCTTGAATAAACAGAGTTAATTTGATTACGATAACTGCATTAATTGAATTAAATTATTTTGGATAAATGAGTTCTAATGAGCACCTTATAAAATATACACACCCTATCCTATTATTGTACATAAATATAGCGTCATTTGACTTCGACAACTGCTTTTACATTATAAGGCTTCTGTCAATATTGTATTATAGTTTTCCAATAGTCTCTGGTCAGATATTAAACAATTTTTTTCAGACTGCCCAAAGATTAGCCTCTATTTACGAGAGTCCAGAAGACATTGATTTATGGGTAGGTGGTCTCCTCGAAGAACCGGTTGAGGGATCAGTGGTGGGGATCACCTTCGGACATATCCTCGCTGACCAGTTCTCAAGGATCAAGAGAGGCGACCGATACTTTTATGAGAATGGCCCGGACGTTAATCCTGGAGCATTTACACCAAGTAATCTTCAATTGAATTTCCTTATTATAACGTGTTTGCATTTAACTATGCTAATCTGTGATGAAAAATAAAGATTCGATCTTTCGAACTTTTTAATAGAATAGTATCGAACGTTGAAAGGCTTACTCATTCATTGCAAAATTTTCTCTTTCGAACAGCTTAATATATAATTATATCAATATCGAGAAAAATACGGTTATTGATGTATCTTTATGAAAATACATAATTTACCCTTCGCAGGTGCTCGGAGATGGGATTAAATTATTAAAGATTTGAATTTTTATTTGGTTATTATCGATATAGTAAATAAAATCGTTCGTGTATTTTGATTTTTAGGTCAATTAGCAGAGATAAAGAAAGTTACTCTCTCTAGAATAATATGTGACAACAAAGACGGAATAGAATTATTTGCACAACCACCAAACGCCTTTGTGCTGGGTAATTTGCCAGGGTAAGGATAGAAATCACTTTCACTTATCACTTTGTTTTTCATACTCTAGGAACGAAAAAGTCTAATTTTTCATCGATTTATTTATAGTGAAAGTTGCTAAAGCTGCCTTCTGGAATCAGTTAATCAGACTTTAATACTAATATTATAAAAAGGGAAACTTTCTAACTTTGTTTCTTTGTAGGGGGTACTCCTACTCCTCGGAAATACTAATCCGATAATGAAAATTGTTTTACCTACGCGAAACTACATAGGCTAGAATTTACGCGGGCAAAGTCGCGAGAAAACGACTAGTATTATTAGATAGACTGGAAAGTGACACATTTGTTATTATTTGAAACAATCAGAAAAATGAAGATTACTGTATGTACTCTATTTTAACAGATTGTATATAATATAAATATAAAAAAAGAATAATAGCTAGTGGGGATGAGGACTGTAAATAAAGACTAATGAATGTGTATTAAAATATATAATAATAATAAATCACAAATCACAGCAAGCAAATCAAACGACAAATATATCCGACCAGCGCAAAACAAAGAGTAGTCGTAAAAGAACAATATAAAAATATGACAAACTAATGAAATAGGACTAATGAAAGTCGCCTACAATCACTTTGTCTTTTTAACCAGTTTCTGTTTTATGAAAACGGAGAGCTGTTGAGAAACTGAATTTGTGACGGATTCAAATAAACCCTGTGAAGCACATTTGCATTGTCGAATATTCTGTTATATTAAGAACCTAATTGGGCTTACAAAGAGCAAATTGCTGAGTGGCAAGGTGTTGTTATGACTTTTGAATTATTTTAAACATATATAGTTTTATCTTGTGTTATGTATTTCCCAAACCATCATTTAATTCATTCAATTTCAAGATTTCTTATATTTTTTTTATTTTACAGGAACGAGCCAGTGCCGTGTGAGAGTCTCGCTATACCTGCTATGGATCTCAGTAGATTTAAGGAAATTTAAGTCTTCTCTCCCAGTGTTTTAGTTCTAAAATTACATATATAACAAGGCAGAAAAATGACAATAATTTTCATGTCATCTGTGTTTTATATCCATCAGAAATTTCACGCAAGAACTTTTATTTTTTGTATTAACTTGTTGGGTTCGTTTTTTGTGTCATTGTTTTCTTGCTTCGTTCGTTAAGTTGGAATTCATCGGGAATCACTTTAACTATCTCCTAGTCTGTTTCTGTTCTTTATTTTCATTTCTTTCTACAGCTGATTTTAAGATTACAACAATTTGCTTCTATTGCAAAAGCGTTTCTGTTTTATCTGATTTTGCACGAGTTTCACCTTTTACGATAGAATCATGTTTTGTAACTTTTATATTATGCCTGTTCAGTCATTCTTTGTTTGGGTGCTACGCTAATCATGTGTCTTCATAACGTTTTTCATAACATCTACCATTTAGACCAATTTAGACTTTCACTGATGCCCGAACAGTGATAGTTTAGATTTCTTAAAGGATTGCGTTGATATAAACATTGATTTTTCTTGATCAACAAATATGATTAATTAATCTCTTTATTTCGTTCAATTAAACAATTCGATGGATTTCAATTTAACTTGGTGATCAAAAGTACCCGAATCAATGTTTTTTTTAATTAAAATTCCAAGATTCAGGAGCTATTTCGATAGTTGGAAGTTAATACTAAGAATAGAAGTGTAGTTTTATAGTTATTTTTGAACGATCGCAAATCTATTGAATCTAATGGGAATAAAAGGAAAACAAAAGTAAAAGTAAAGACATTGTTTTTTATTTGTTACAGAAATTAAATATATTAATAGGAAGTGTAAATTTTTGTTTTTATATCCGCAGGGCGGTTTTATGGTGTAATAAATTGTTTTTAATCAATAAAATGTCAAATACTAGTTATTTGATAAAGTATAAGTGAGAACAATTTTAAATTATTTATAAATTTTATTATTTCCCCTCGAAAGTGGCTCCGAATGTTTTGCATGTTTTTTACCATAAGTGCATAATGGTTTTATTTAGGCAGTAATTGTTTTTATTGAATTGATGTTAATTTAGGAAATGTGTATGAGTTTGTTTGTTTGTTTATGTAAAATTAGTATAAGTTCACTTATAATGTAATTTTTTTTTGATTTGTCATTAATAATATTAAATAATTATGCTGATAGAATAAATTGGGAGCTCCTGAAGTCGGAAATGTAACGAGTTGATTTTGTAATTATATTCAATTAATTTCTAAATAAAATGTGTTTCATTTTGTAAAAGTGTTTCATTGGCAAGAAAATTAATGTGTTAAATCTACTGATCATTATTTTTCTACAAGTAGAAAGTAGCGTCATAAAACTAGTAGATTCAAATCTATACTTGAAGTATCTGTCATAGCTCCGATTACACGTTTTCATGGTACCGCGGCTCGAACAATAATGCTCCTTATAAATTAGCTACTATTTTACAGCACGCCAAGTCTGCTTTAATTATTTAGATGTTGTTCCGTATTATTTATTAGCTATCATATTACAAATTAGCACAAAGCATTTTTCTTAATCTATTGTCATTTTGTTTCTATAATGTAATGCTTAGATAAAACAAAACGCACTATCGTGCAAAACGAAACGTATGTTTTTTATGTTCTAAGTGCTGCCACCTATATAAACACAAAAAGAGAAGTTCTCCGACCGCCGCTCGCACAGCTGGTATATTATAAAAATTTATATAATTTATAAAACCTAGCTAAATTCGCGACAAGTGTTTGTTGATGAAAGCTTCCAGCGCCCTTATTAACGAAGCAGCTTCTTACTGGGGTCCCATATCAAGATCCAGGAAAGGCGGTGTACTTGGTAAGTGAGCTGATCGCATTGCTTAACTTTCTTACACGGATGTAATACCACCACAACATCGACCTATAAATAATATATTTGTTTTATATTGTAATAGAATGTGACTACATAGTCTATGAAGTCATTTTCCAACTGTACTTCTTTGTATGAAAAAGTAGCCGTTGCTGAGCGTCTTGGCGGTTTTTCTTATTACGATTCCAGTCGCAGATTTGCGAAGATGGCATGACATAGCTATCGACTTTCACAAATATTTATAACAGCCTAGACTGATTAAATAATATGGATATTATTTTTTTTTTTACCTTTTTATATAAATGCTATAATTATTTATTTCTTTGAAAGGAAACTGTCATGATTTTCACTCAACGATATTGTCTGGGTCGTCTTCAAGTGTTTATTCTTTCAAGCAATTTAGAAAATTAACGAACGCATCGAGTTGTCACGACGCTGACGAGACCGGGATAATTACCTGCCATGTGGAGGGTGATGATCGTTACAAGATTGGAAAAGGGGAGTACTTTTGTTATTAATATGTCAAATATGGCCCTTAAATCATTATCATCGGTCTATTAATATTATCACTACTGGGATATAGGTTTTAACTTAGACAAATTAAATAGGGAGACTGGGCATGACCCACCAAGTGTGCCCAGTTCGTATTAGTGGGTGTTAACGTCTGCAGATGCAGCTGGGACCAACGGCTTTACGTGATTTCCGTAGCACGGAAGTCGAGATAATATTTTTTTGGTCTCCCATCCTATAAAAGGCCCTTGCGAATATTGCTAAACAACCTTGTCCCAGAACGAACGCCCATTCATTATAATAATAATAAATAATAATAATATTTTTTATTGGAACTTTACACTTTACAGATATTATCGTGTACGAAAGCAGCCGCTTTAGTTTAAAAACTGAGTTGCAGCCACAAACGCCCACCTTCATTGTATAAAGAACAACGTTCCACTCGACGTATTTATATAATTCAAGTTTAGAAGTAATTAAATAGCATGCATTCTTATCATTACTACTGTGTGTGTAGAATGTTAGTGTATATGAAAGTATGAGTATGTGTATATGAGTGTAAGTTTGTGTGTATTTGTATTATATGTTATGTTTTTGTGTATTTCTTTTATACAAACTGCGATGAATCATTATATGTCTGTTTACATACAACTCTTTAACAAGTCCTCAGTATCACTGTAGGATAATGTTTTTAGCCACTGTACCAATCGAGTTTTGCATTCTCGCGAAGTGAGAGGATGTAATTTTATCAAGTTATTAATTTTGTTGTATAATTTTGGAGCCAAGAAGTTAAAATGTTTAGCAGATACAGATAACCTACACATCTCGATTTTACATGGCAAGACTGGTCTACGTTTGCTTTTACAGGGGTAAGGCTTATCACTTATAGTTGGAAATGGGAGTTGAGCGTGTTGCCGTAAAATAATTTGCAGGAGATAAATTTGACGCACTGTTAAAACGTCAGTAAGAGCATACAACTCAATAGTGGAGAAATAAGCTGGTTTGCCGATAATAACCTTAAGCACCGCTCTTTGAGCTCTTTCTAGTCGCAAAAGTTCTGTTTTTCCTGAGCTTCCCCAGACGGAGATACAATATGAAAGAACAGATTGTCCCAATGCATAGTAGACTGTTTTTAATGTATCATAATCAGCTACATGTCTGAGGTTCTTGAAGACGTAAATAAGTTTTCTGATACGACCAACCGTGTTTTTTATATGTACCTTCCATGTTATTCCATAGAGCTCCAAGGGTCTCAAATAAAGATTGATTTATTAACACGTTTTCATCCGTGGGAGAGCCACGCTTCGGCATGAATGGGCCGGCTCAACCGGAGTGATACCACGGCCTCACAGAAAACCGACGTGAAGCAACGCTTGCGTTGTGTTTCGTCGTGTGAGTGAGGGTACCGGAGGCCCAACCCCTCCCTATTCCCTTCCCTCTAGCCCTCAACCCTTCCCTCTAAGGCCGGCAGCGCGCTTGTAGTCTCTCTGGTTTTGCAGGTGTCCATGGGCGACGGTAATCACTTACCATCAGGTGATCCGTCTGCTTATCTGCCCCCTATCCCATAAAAAAAAAAAAAACGTTAGACGTCCCTTTAATCGAAGGATCATTTTCATTGCTCTAAATTCAAAATCAATATTATTTATTCAGTCTAAGTATTTGTGAAATGTAAAATGTGGTCAAATGCTATGCCATCGGTTCACAAATTTACGGCGGGAGACCTTGTACTATGAAGAACCGGTAAGGGCTGTTTTAGAATTAAATATGCTTCGAATAAGACAAATGAAAATGCGCTTTGACATTCATTAAAATATTTCTGGAGAAAATTATTCCGTTAATCCGCGGTCGAAGCTAAAAATAACACAAAGAATTCAATCGAAATCTGTGCCGAGATTCAACTTTACGATTCCTCGGTAAAGATGACACTCGGTTATTAATCGAACCACAAAATCGGTTCCGTGAATTATTAACACGTTTTAAATAACAAAAAAGTTCCCAAAGTTAGAAGGGCGTGTGCTCACTGACGACAAACGCCAAAAGCTCGATTTGAAAAAAAAAATTGTGTTAAAGGATATTTTTAACGAGTTTTCATTATCAATATTTTTATATTTAAAAACATCCTGCACAGATTTGTAAAAGTAATTATAAATTACATTTTATAATATTACAGAAGCGAGAAATGTGCATGTTCTTCTATTTTATATTACCTGTGGTAACAGTGATTAATTATATCTACCAGTCCAAGTAAACCCATCCTTTTTTGGAAGTAAACCCATCCTACTACTGAGGGGGAAGAGGTAGATGCTCCGTCAAATGATGTAAGGAGGCAGGCCTTACAATATTTGGCAAATGACAAAAAAAAAAACCATTTAGCATTATGATAGTATTAAGTCAGTTGAAGAGTGTTTTGGATTCAATCTAAATCCTATTCAAAGATTATATTAAATTACTAACACATACGGCCAGTTGCACAAATTACCATTAAGGTTTAATGACGCCCTTAAGCTCTAATGATTCTCTAATTTGTATCGGTAATGTCGCTTTAAACTAACGAGAAAAGACGTTTGTGCAACTGGCTGATAGTGAAACATTACTGTAACGTTGTTTTAATCAGCACCATTTCTAAATAAT